ATCTCACTATAAATATATGAAATTTATTGAATTGTTAGTTACATTTGACATGTGAGGTTCACTCTTTATGTGTTTATGTATTATATTAGTTGGTGATATCACATATCAATGATGACGTAATATTACCATTATATTGAATTTTTAATCAAATTTTGTATAAAAAAAATTGTCATTAGATAATTTATTTTAAGACTTATGTTATTTATTTATTGTATTGTTCATGATACACTAGTTATAAATAATATTCAGCTTGTTTGGATGTAGTTTTTAGAAAACAGCTTTCAAAAAATTCTACTTTTTTATTTTCCGTATTTTAATGTTTTCAATGAATTTTTTTTAAATATTTTATGCATTTTTTATTATTATTTTTAGACACACCTAACATAAAAAAATATAATATTTGTGAAAAAAATCTTTAAAAAATACACTAAATACTACAAAATATGAAAAAAATACAAAAAATCAGTACATTTTTTGTATTTTTGTGTATTTATTAATTTTTAAAAATAGTTTTCAAAATATTTTACTATTTAGATACATCTAAGTGCGGTGCATCTAAAAAAATAAAAAATTTGCTTAAAATTTAAAAAATATTCACTAAAATCATAAAAACACGAAAAACAAAAAACTTGAATTCAGAAAACTGAAATCAAACACACTGATTTTTTTTTTTTAATGTTTCTCGAAATCAATCATAAAAAACTTACGTGAAATATTTTTGTAAAAATTTTTGACATTGTTATTAATAAGTGCCCCCTCTAATTTAACTTTCTGGCTCCGCCATTGGGTTCAACCAAAGTAACTTGAGCTCAGCTTAAAAAAATTTAGGGTTTGAGAAACATATTCTTGAATTCGATATAAGTTTGGGCAAAAATTAAAAGTTCAAATTAAATTTGGCCAGGCTTAGCCTATGTTTGGGAAGTTGGGTTTGATGATTTTTTTGCTAAAATAGTCACAAAAAATAAAATAGACTTTTTAACCCAATAAGATAAAATATCACATTTAACCCATAATTGTTACATTCTTTCTCTTACAAAAAAGTCAAAAAAATCAAAAGTCATTCCCAAACCAGGCTTTTTGCCCCAGGCTAAAACAACCAAAAAAGCCAAAAAGCTGAAAAGCCAACTCACTTCCCAAGCGAAGCCTTAGACAAAGATAGTAACAACCCGAGTAACTTGAAACCCAAAATTGTATATATAAATATTAAATATATCTATAAATTACTAGATGTTGAATGATGTTAAAACAATTTGAATCGTTAGATCATATTCACTATATATATAAATAACACAGCACAAAACCTTACCAATTTTTTTTTTTTTCTGCTCCACAAATTACAAAGACCACCCCAACGTCACATCAGTTACTCAATTCTCATCTCTCTATCTCCCTTACATTATATAAATTATTTATTTTAGTATTATTAATAATTTTACCAAAAAATATTAATAGAGTATAATTTTATCAAATTAATCAACCTAGCTACAAAAAAAAATAATAAATAAACAAAATCAATTTTTTGAGCAAATTCGGAAAATTTTGGCCTTTCTCAAGTCTGACTTGAATAGACAACACCAATTTGCAAATTGGGTTTCAATAGACTTAGCAACTCTTAATAGAACTTAAGTTGAATTTAGACAACCTCTTAACCTTTTTAAATTTGTCCGAGTTGCGCTACTAGTTTAAACCAAGCAAATTTGAATGAAACTACATCACTAATGCAAAGGCACTCCTACTTTTCACATAAGTGTCACATGCATAAACTTATTAATGGCATAAAAATAATAATAATAAAGGGGGAAAAAACGTATGCAAAATAATTTATTGAGTTGTAAACTTATCACTTTAAAACTGAAAATTTCATTATGTCTTTTATTTAAATAAAATAAAAAAATAAAAAACATTATCATATCTCTTGCAAAAGAGTTTAAAAAAAAATTAAAAAAAAAACCGTGGAAGAACAACATCTAAAAAAAATAGTTATTAAACACATTTTGATACCCTTCGAGCATGTTTGTTTGGTGGGATTGAAAAGTAGGATTGGACTAATAGTCCATCCAGACTAATACTCCGTTGTTTGTTTCAAATTTTTTGCATTGGACTAATAGTCCATCCAAACTATTAGGCCCTGTTTGTTTTGGGTGTAATGGATGGGAGGAGATTAGGATGTAGGTGGAGTTATTTAGTGTTGTGTTTGTTTGTAAAGTTGGAGAAAGGATTAGGATGGAGGAGGGGATTAATATAGAGGTTGGAAGGAGGATTGAGATGGAGAAGGTGGAGGTGGAGGTGGTATTAGAAAAATAATGAAGGGATTAGAAATTTTTTTATTTTTTACATATTGAGAATTTTTTTTTTAAACATCAATGTGTAATTTTTTATATTTTTTTATTTATTTTATTATTTTATATAAAAATAATTTAACAATTCTTATACTAACAACTATCATCAAAACAAACACAATTTTACTTAATCCCCTCACTAACAATCCCTTCACTATTAATCCTCTTACTATAAATTTCTCCATTCTACCTTTGAAAACAAACGGGACCTTAATCCTAAATTTTTGGGACTATTGTATCCCATGGGGGCCCACAAATCATGGGATAACTCATCCCATGAGATTAGGTTACCAAATCACATTGTTGGCACTCTAATATTAAATATCTGTGTCCTCATGATATTAATTATACTTAACAAAGTAGTCTCAATTTAAAAATAAAATTATTTTATTTAATTTTTATTGATGTTTTATTTATTTAATTTTTTAAAATAAATTTTTATAGATGTTTTGTTGATTTTTTATTTTAAAATTTTATTGATGTTTTATTTAATAATAATTATTTTTCTAATAAATTTATTTTAAAAAATAAAGCAAACTTATAAAATATCTAATTTTTTAAAAATAAATTTTTATGTAATCTAGCAAAAATAAAATAAAATAAAATTTTATTTAATCTAGCTAAAGATAATTAAAATATTAAATATATGCTTAATATTGTTATTACTTAGTAAATAATTGAAATTGTTAAAATAGTCATTTGAGTATTTATTCTTCTCCATAATATCCCATATAAACATAGGATTCACATCTTATCCAACCAAATAATCATTTTCTGATACCTAATCATATGACTAAACAAATATGAGATACATATCCTATCTAACCAAATAATCGCAGGACTATAAATTCCAAAATTACAATCTAATGGATTATAAACAAACATGTTGTTCAAGCATTCTCATTTGTAACTAGGGGGATAATAGAAAGGATATTGATGCTTTAACACCCTCACTTTATATATTTTTTTTTCTCAATTTTTAGCTAAGTAAGTATATACTCCATATAATTTCTCTATATATTTTAAATATTTTTTTAATATATTTTATTAAAAATATTTTTTTCCGCTTTCATTTCTATCCTCCACTCTTTGAGAAGAGATGAGAGAGAGAAAATATTTGAAATGAGTAATTTGTCACATCTTTATTTCACTTTCTATGTGTATGCACATTGATGCAATAAAAATCATCTGCATATATATGACTTATTACATTTAAATAAATAAATAGTGAGACTTATAATGCTAAATAATAATTCACGTAAGAGGTGAAAAGTTTTGATAAACTATTTCAAGAAGCTGGTGTGGGTGCTTTAACTAATTTAAACTTTAGGATTATTTACACTAAAGTTCCCTCAACTATTGAAAAGTATCATTTTGACCTCCTAAATCATAAAAACTTACAAATAAATCCCCTAAATTATTGAGAAGTATCACTTTGCCATTCAAATAAATCCCCTCCTTAAATTATAAAAACGTACAAATTGGACTGTTAACGGAAGGAATCAGAGTAAAACGCGCAAATAGTTTATGGGATCTATTTGAATGTGTTTATAATTTGGAGGGGTAAAGTGATACTTCTCAATAATTTAGGGAGTCTATATGTATATTTTAAAATTTAAGAAGTCAAAGTGATACTTTTCAATAGTTTAAGAGGTCTCTATGTAAATAACCCTTTAATTTAGCTTTCATTTTTTTTCCTTTTAATTAATTCAAAAATTCCAAAAATGGCATTAAGTTTCTTGGGTTGTTTAGAATTCCTCGTCAATAAGAAAAGCATAATTGTTAGAAATCTATGTTACTTAAAACGTAGATAATTTTGGTACGAGAAATGATAATGAAAACATAATACGTTACATATTTTAAAATATGATACGATTTAGAAAAATTTATTAATTTGACACCCACCATATATACAATTTTATGAACATTATATCCTATAATTTTACATCTTGTCAATCCAAGACTTCACTCTATCTAAATTTTAATTAATGATTTTTTTTCCTATTAACATGAACTTTTAATGAAAAACATAGATAAAATTATGTGATCACTATAAATCACTAAATTCACAGTTTAAAAATAAAAATATACCATATTTCAAAACATATATTCCAAAACGTATTGATTGAGATGGAAACAATAGTTGTTCATAAAGCACATGCACGTATGAAGAATTTTGTGGGTCTGTCCAATTTCGTTTTGTCATTGAGTTTGTGTTCTGTCCCCGTTCTCACTGCACATCCTTCATTTCCATTCATGAATGAAAGAAACAGAACAGAGACATCCGGGCCCTCCGATTGATCTTGAACCTCACATGGGATCAACAAATCATAACTACCACCAAAATATTAAGCAATGTTTGATAACTTTGCCAATTGAACACATGTGCATAGTGTCCATTTATGTCCTGTAAAGCAATTATACCACCAAAAAATTAAAAAAAAAATCAATAATCCAAAAAGTGGGTTGTTTTCAGAATTCCAAAAACAGTTCTCCAAACAAGGTTTTTATTTTTTTTTCACTGTGTGGACCAAGTAATTACCTCTGTGGCAGCCAAGTCTAACCACCGGCTTCGAGAACAAACTACAACTCTTCGAACACAACTTTCAATTCACATAACAAAACAAGGCAAATCACAAATGAATGAAGATGCTAACGAGAGAACCCAAGAGCTAAATTCTTCACAACTGACAGAAAACTATTTAATTTCATTAATCGTTACATTCTTTTACACAGATTTAAGACATAATAACCAGTTACTATAAAAACCAACAAAAGCAAATATATAGAAGGGGTTGCATGTTAAACAAAGTTCATGGAGAACCAACAAGTTATTTTCTACTTTTCTGTTCCCCTCTTTAATAAAAAAAAAAAAGGTAAAGAATAAACAAAAATACATACACATCAGCAGCATAAGTTTCCTCAAGGTTCCAGCTTCAAGGAAACAACACGTGCCTGCCTGTTGCGCTTCGCTGTGTTGACAAAGACTCCGGATAGACAACGTGGAGCCCACCAAGGCCTGCGGACTTTTTGCTCCCCTTTCAAGCAGGCAACTGGGAAAAAAAAAAATTTGACCGAGACAAATATTACTGCAATCTAAATTTACAATCCGAAGCAAATGATGTATTCATTATCCATGCAGAATCAGTAGCATTGATACCAAATGAAATCAAAGAAAAAGGAGTCTAAGAAGGTAATTGTACTTTATGATGCATAACCAGTCTCAACTCCATCTTAGGTTGTGTTTGGATCAAAGATTTGGAAAGGAATTCATGGAGGGAAACAAAAAAGGGAGGGAAAAGTGAAATAAGTTGGCTTCTATTTCATTCACTTATTCCTACCCTTTTTGCCTTCCCTTCACAAATCTCACCTCAAATCCTTAATCCAAACACAGTCTTAAGAAGACACTTTCTGTAATTCAAATCTTAAGAGAATTTGAATATTCAAGCAATACGATATCAATCTTGCACAACAAAGATAGCCGGAGGCAGTTATCTTTATTATTCACCTGAACTTACTTTACTTTTCTTGATACAAAAGACAAACATTTTCCAAGTATTAAGAGTACACTTGTAGCATGTTGGGATCATAGATTTGATTTGAGTAGGGATTGGAAATGGAAAGGAAGAGACGAGGTAAATGGGGGGGAAAAATTAGCTTAGATTTCATTCATTTTTCCCTAACTTTGTCCTTGAATAAATATAACAGGTGACATCTGAGTATGCATAACATGGTAATATGGCACATAATGAGTAAAACAGCTTAATAGGTTTGTGGCATTGCCAGATGAACAGCACAAGGATATATCTAGTCATTATTAATTCATTTGAAGAAAGTAGACATAGTGATCCAATGGGTTCTTCATTCCTTCTAATATAATGCTATTAAAAAAATCAGATCAGATGTTTAACATGAAGAAAACACTAAATAATTTCATTATCCCGCAATTCAGATAGGCACACACCATTTGAGATGCAGTGATTGTATAAGACCATTTGAGGTGTGTGCCTCAAAAAATTAAATAAAATAAATAAAAAATCATGTCAAGTAGTGCATGAGCATAAATTTCACTTTAATGTCAAATAACAGCTTCATCAGAAAATAATCCTTGTGCAAAGTTTTCTTGCACACGTAAGCAAGCGCACACACACACACACACACAGAGACATACCCTTAATTCGCCTCAATTCCTTGCAAAGGGTGATAAAGTCACCCCATTTCATGTGGCACCGTCTTATAAACCGAAGTATCTGTTCAGTTGTGAACATGGACATGCCCTCCAAGTATTCTCCATTGACACCATTTTCTTTGAATATTTGGCGGTAACTACCCAGATTTATCTCCTCCAACCATAAACCAACATCCTGAAAAACAAGAAAAAAAGAGAAGAAAAGATAAAACATATTTACACATTTTTTTCACTCAAGTAACAAAATTGACATCGCTTTGTATACAACAGTTCATATGTTTGTCAATATAGTGACATGGAGATAGATCACAGGCACAAAATAACCCAACTATAAATCTGGCGCAATGTCATTGAAACTTCAGAGCAGGGATTGTATGTGTCCTTTGAAGTTATTCCAAAGTTGAATTCCTTGACAGTTGAACAATGGTATCCTTTATTAAAAAGAAAAGTCAATGATTGATTAAATTCTGACACTGACAGCAGAGAACTTCATCTCCAGTAAGAGACGATTCCGAACTGTATTTCATGCAACTCTTACATGAGATAGCCAATCATATGCTAGTACCCGTGTCGACATGACATGACACGGGTGCGGGTGTGAGATATGTGTTAGATTCGGCATGGTTTTCTTGGACACGGCTAACATGAGAGGAGAAAGAAGAAGGGCTGTTGAGAGAAAGGGAGAGAGGACTGAAACTCATCTTTGCGAAGCAAGTCGAGTCGCGAAGCAAGATCGAAGCGCGAACCCTAGTCGCGAACTAGACTGAATCGAAGGAGATCTGAAAACCAACATCTCAAAGTCGATTCCACCCAGAAAATGACCCTAGGCTTCGATTCCCCTCTGCTCTCTCTCTCTCTCTCTCTCTCTCTCTTCTATTTTCTTCTTCTCTTCTTCTCTCTCTCTTTCTCTTTCTCTTCTTCTTTAACTATCTTCTCTTCCTCTCTCTTCTCTTTCTCTGCTTTCTATTTATAAATGATATTAATATAATAATATATAATAGTATTCATATTATATAATATAATATTCACTCAAAAAAATATTATATAATATAATATATCATAAATGATATAATTTTTATGTCTAAAATAAAAATAATTTATTTTATCATATATAATATAATTTATTTTATGTCTAAAATAATTTTTATTTATTATTTATATTTTATTTGTTATTTTTTTTAACAAAATTTGTTATTCTGTAACTTTTTTTTAACTCATCTTCATAAAATAAATATATTTTAAAAAATAACCAAATTTGGATCCATATCCACGTATTCCCAATTTTTTATTTTGAAGTGTCTGACCCCTAGATATGCACCCACACCCAAGTCCGTGTAACACAGTATGCTACTAACACTCTTTGGTCCTTACCCATACAGGCCACTTCTATATAGATTCAAGGTTTTTTTAATTAACACCTCTGTTATCAGAATCTTACGATTCGCGATTCGATTCACGATTCGATACGTAATTTTTGCAAAATTGATACGAATCTATGAGTGAATCTATTTTGGAAATGAATCTCTAGTGAATCGCACGATTCACAATTGATTCACGATTCGATTCACTTTTTACGATTCATGCAATTTTTGAAATTATTGTGTTCGAAATATTTTCGACTCATTTTTTCCATTTTTTTAGTGAAAATGACATAATACAACTTCTAATAGTATTTATTACCAAAATAACCAACATATATATATGATTTGTTATTATTTTAGTGATCATGGAGTTTTTATAGGATCCAATCAGATTCAGTCAAACCTAACATATTTTTAACCTTTCTTCTCATTTTTGTCCCCTTCAAAAAATTGTAATATATCTTCTAAAGATGTTTAAGATTAGAGTTACACTATGAATTATCTATTACTATTTTATTAAATTGAATACTACATGTGTGAGGTCAGTTATACCTGTTAAAATATTTTAGGCTTTAAAATAAAATATCCTAAATAATTCTTTCTTATTATTTGCTCACTCTTACTTAGAAAAGTATATATGCTTATTGTCCAAATATCAATATCGTTGTTAACTATTGTTACTTTAGAAATTAATAGTTTCTATTTGGTTATTACCTTTATTAAGAATGGTTGATAAAAAAATCTAAAAAAAAAAAGAAAAAGAAAAGGTAAGATGATAATTTTACATAGGAACCTTTGTTAACTTCTTACCTATTAAATTACGTGATTATCATTCAAAATAACATTTTTGTTGATTTAAGTTTAAATATTTTATATTCATAAGATACATTTAACATCTAAATGTGTAGATATATGTTTTTACGTGATTTAGAATAAGTGACTGAATCTTTACGATTCACGATTCGATTCGATTCGCGATTTGGTATGAGATCATTTCGATTTACGATACGAATCCCGATTTGACAACTATGATTAACACCTCAATCACCGATTGGTCTAGTGGATGTGAATGATATCCAACTATCCAAGTAGTCTTAAATTAATTTAGAAGAATGTTGTAGAAGAAGAAGAGGAAAAAAATAAAAAAATATATATTGAAAAACTATAGGAGCAGTGGTAGATGGAAGCCACATGGTAATCACAAGAGGCCTTCTAGTGCTTGTCTTTCACAGAGTTCAAAAGTGTCCACATGTCACAATTTCATGCTCCTAATATGAAAGCATACTAGCAAAAGAGTGTAAGAATTTTAGTATTGAGACTCCCATCTTTCTCTTCTTAATTACATCTCATACAAGTCCATATTCATTTACTTCTAGGTTGAACAACCAATTACTTATAATTCCAAAGGGAGACAAGAGAAATAATAAACACTGATCATATAAATTCCTCTTCCCTACAGCTACATGTCCTCTTTACCAGGATTTTCGAGGATAATGAGGCTATCACAAACTACCCTCATCCTAGTTCGGTATTAGTCTACTGCACAAACAACAATAAATCTTAATCTAAATGGGGAGGTTTTGGGAAAAAACAAGTTCAATTAGACTGTTTACCACAATGCACATAGACACCTCTCTGTTCCAAATAAAGCAAAATGGACACAAAGAGATATCAAAACAGGACAATGAGAGTCAACTTTGAGATTCTAAATTGGTGGGACAGAAGTAATAAAAATGTGTTCATATCAAACAACCTAACAAGGGACCTCAGCAGTATCCTTGGGTTACGATCTTTAAATTACTTAAGCACACTTTGACGCACAATCGTGAAGTATAGACAGAGACCACAGTCAAGTTCAGAAGAATCAGAACCCAAATGCATACTACATATTTTCAAGGAAACTAAAATGCATACATTAGCGACTAGATAATCAGACACCTTTTTCATAATTTTTCTTGACAAGTAAAAAATTTAGTGACAAAAAAGAATCCACCTTAAAAGGTGTGAACCCTGTACACTAAGGTAAAAATTTTACATCAAGAGGCATGTATAGATCTGCAATGAAATTTAAATATAAAAAATATAAAATAAAATAAAATAAAAGTCAATATATAAAGGACACGACACGACACTCCTAGAGTCTTAGCAACAAAAACAAGGAGCATAGATCTTTTTAAGCTACTAATTGGGAGATCCACCCCATTGAAATGAAATAAAGACCAATTACATGAGTGATGGAGAATGAAAGCATACATGTCACCAATGCTTTTCTAGAAATGGTACAGAAATGATAAGAATTGATATGCTAGTGTAAATAAAAAAATATAAATATTTAAGAATGAATAATTTGCCAATCAATGATATTCTCAAGAGAGAAGATAAATATTGGATTTGGAAATAACATACGATGAGGAAACAATTAAGAGACACAAGGAAACATATATGCTATCGATAGAATCAAATACATATAGGATATAATGAGAGAGAGAGAGAGAGAGAGAGAGAGATGCAACCCACAATGTGTGTTCCAAGCCAATATAGAAACACACATATCTCTTTTACCACAAAACCAAGAGAGAGAGAGAGAGATGCAACCCACAATGTGTGTTCCAAGCCAATATAGAAACACACATATCTCTTTTACCACAAAACCAATTTGGCTCTCACTCAAGAAAAGGCGGGGTAAGCAAAAATGAGCACAATCTCTGACATTCATGATCAATTCATTCAGTTGAACATTAACATAACCATACACACACAAAAAACACATTCTGAGACAACAATCACAAAATTCCAAAAATAATTACAGCTACTTAGTATATACAGAACTTGATACCAACTACAGACTGAAGAAAAACATCTGCAAGCACTTGCTAAGCACAGAATTACAAATAGGTTTCCAAAACCACCCCCCAAAAAAACCCAAATTCACTAATTTTCTGTTGGTTCCTGAGAAAGCTATGGTCAACACAAACAGAAAAGAGAAAGATTAATATTTCAATCTTATTGTTGAGTGGTTTCCCAATATATGAACCCAAATTAATTTATTCCAAATAGTTGTACAAGAATGACTTCGGCTATATATATACATATATATTTATATTCAGGTCAGAATCAAAGAAAAGATGTGGGGATTTAAAAATTGAATTTCCTTCATTTTCCTGCGTTTTGTCAGTAACCAAACAGTGGGATTACAAATTCAGAGACTAGAAAACAAATAACAGAATCACAAAAAAGAACCCAAAACAAGATCTACTTGTGATAGAGTAAAGATCGGCATACAAAAAACCAAATACCTCGACGGTCCAGATGAAGAAATCAAGAGGCTCAGGTGGACGTTCTTTGTTCATCTCCCAAATCGATACTCTAAAGAGAGAAAAAAATCCAACTGACCCTGTCGAGAATTCCATTAAAATTTCATTACCCAGTTGTCAGAAAATCAAGAAATCAAGGCAGAATCAGACACACATATATATACACAAATTGATACAGATATATGAGGAGATTGAGATGGATTTACCGAGTGACGAAGTGTAATTAGAGGTACGTTTTTCTACATTTGATTACAATTTCGAGAGAGAGAGAGCCGGTTGGGAGAAGTGAAGAGAATTGAGGTAAAGGCTTCACTTTTGCGCAATTGATTTATGCACACAATCACAGTGGATCGATGGACCCATTTGCTTTTTATTTGCTGCCTTACATCGTAATAATTTTAGCCCTAATTACCTTGTACTTACGAGTAATTTTATTTACACATCACATTTTCTCAAAACTCACTATTTAAAAGAGATTTGGTGGTAGACTTTTTACTGTTTAATTTATTTTTTAAAAAGATAAAAATTATATAGATACTTTTAAAATTTCATAATATTTTAAAACTTGTTTCTTTTACTATACTATTCACATATCTATCAGCTCTCCTATTAAGTTATTCTCATAGTATATTTCAAAATAAAATTTTACTTTGAATCATAGTAAACTTTACTTTGATTCAGAGTAAAAATTCAAAGTAAAATTTTAAATTTTTTACTCTCTCCACTTCCACCAACCCGATGACAAACCAAATCTAAGGACTCTGTTGGTGGGCCATTGCTGCCTTTATATCTAAAGCCCTCAGATCTGAATCTCTCGCCTTTTAACTTTCTCAAACTCGTTTTCATCGTTTTCCTTCCCAACATGACGACACAAGGAATAGAGCAAAAATATAAGGGTTTCGGTGTAGTGGATCTGAGAAAAGAGAAAGAGATAGAGCGATTTGAGGACGGTGCAGTGAAGGCGACATCGAGGACGGTGGTGAACCAACGGTGAGAATTAACCTTTGGTGGAAAAATCCAACAAGCAATGCACGCTCTCTTCTCAACCTCGTTATTGGTGAGAGACCACGAACCGATGATGATAATAATGCAGAAGATTAGGAAGATTAAAGGTTTTGTAGTCATCGCCGGCGATGGTTGTGGCAACGGAGGTGGGGTACTCGGTAGAGGATCAGCGACCGCTTCTCGGTCCAGCAATGAGGGAGATCGACTGAGATTGGGAAAATGAGAGGATATAATAGTCTGATAAAATATTTAAGGGAGATCGACTGAGATTGGGAAAATGAGAGGATATAATAGTCTGATAAAATATTTAAATAATAAATTTTGTCCTTTATACAAGATTTACGGGTTGTTTGGAGTGTCCTAAATAAGTGCACTTTTTGTCTTTTTGGACCAAAAAATTGAGAAAAAAAATATGGGATGGTTGTGGCAACGGAGGTGGGGTACTCGGTAGAGGATCAGCGACCGCTTCTCGGTCCAGCAATGAGGGAGATCGACTGAGATTGGGAAAATGAGAGGATATAATAGTCTGATAAAATATTTAAATAATAAATTTTGTCCTTTATACAAGATTTAGGGGTTGTTTGGAGTGTCCTAAATAAGTGCACTTTTTGTCTTTTTGGACTAAAAAATTGAGAAAAAAATATATGGATGTTTGGGTTAACTTTTTTACTTTTTATGGAAAAATGTGTATTAAAAAATTGTATAAATTAGTGTGTAGGGGAAAATTAGGATTGGGAGTTGTACAGTCGTAATTTTTGACTTTTGGTGAATAGTGATAACTTTTTAACTTTTTGAGTAATTTTTTGACTTTTTGGCTTTTTGGCAACTTGCCAAACTTGGCCTAATAATTATGAAGGGGTTTTGAAAGTATAATTTTTTTTGTTGGTCATTTTAACAATAAACGGAAGGTAAGAGGGATTTATAGCCAAATTTTCCTTTATTTTATTATAATTTTATGCCTCAATTAAATTATCTTTTTAGACGTCCATACATTCAAATTTCAATCATCACCAATCCACCTCCGATTATAGTTCTGGTTCTGGTTCTGGTTCTGGTTCTAGTTCTAGTTCCAACTCTGACGCTAACACACCCTTGCCTCTATCTTCTTCTCTCACCTTTCATCGCCGACCACTTCCTCAATTTCTCTCTGTCTCTCTATCTTTTTCTTTTTTTTTTCTTCTTCTTCTTTTTTGTAATTCGCACCGCGCTCTTCACTTCCGCTACAACTCACGTTTACGACAACACCGTGGAGGAGGCAACCACTAGAGAGAAGGGTAGTTGCTAGCTGTCGGCGTCCGACAATGGCTATGGCAATGTTAGGGTTAGGGTTTTGTTGAAGAAAATGGAGGATAGTTTGGTATTATTTGAAAAAATAACAGTGTGTATTGAGATAAAATTAGAATTTTTAATTTTAGTGTGGTGTAAACTAAGAAAAGGAGGTGATTGTGTGTATTGAGATAATTAGTAATGAATAAATAGAATTGTCTATTAATTAATTATTATTACTTTTTGAGAATAAGTTATTTTAGTTAGTTATTTGATTTTTTAATTATCTTAACTTGGTTAAAAAAATTAAGGTTCAGATTATAATTAATTTGATGACTGTAAATGAAAAATTAAAATGATTATGAAATAAATATAATATTTTACCTTATTAATTATTTTAATATATTTTATCTTTATTAGTTGTCCGTTTGGGACGATGATTTCTGGCTAAAATAGCCACAAAAGACAATATAAGCTGTTTTAACTACAACAAACAAAACATCACATCTAACCTATAATTATTACACTATTCTCTCATAAAAAAAGTCAAAAAGGCAAAAAGTTAAAAATTCCTTCCCAAATCAAACATTTTAACCCAAGTTAAAAGAGTCAAAAAATCTAAAAAACCAAAAAACCAACTCACTTCCCAAATCAACCCTTAATCAAATAACTCCTAACCAAAAAATGATATATGTTTACGTTTCGTTAATTAAAATTAATTACTCTATGTGTGCGTTTCGTTCCGAGAAGTTTGTGCCCAACGCGACATTGAACCACGAGCTTTGTTCACGCGCCCTGGTTGTGAACTCAGGCCTGGGGAGGGCGCTGTGAGTAGGGGTGCAACTCGGGCGGGTTCAACCCAAGCAACCCGAGTCCAGCCCGAGTTTTTTTAGGGCTTGGGCAACTATAATCTGGACGGGCTTGGGCAGATTTTTGATGCCCGAATTGCAATTCGGGCCGGGCTTGGGCAGAACCAATGGAGTTGAATTGTAATTGTTTTAAAAAAATTTATCAAAATTGTGCTAATCCTTTTTTTTTTTTTAAATATAAATATGGTCTTATTACGAGTTATAAATATTTAATTAATTTGATATTTTTCATAAATAATTTATTCAACTAATCTTATAATATGAACAATTTAAATTATTAAAATAGATTCAAAAATGTCTCCAAAGCCTCATACCACCCTTCTAAGTTCCATGTAAACTCTAGTCAATAATGTAAATAATGACTACAAAATCAAAATGATGTACAAACTTACTTTTCATACTCACTTTCTAAATCCAATTATATATAAGTGAGATAAATAGTTGATAATTAGAGAAAATATGAGAAATAGTTGTTAATTTAGACATTTTAATAAATTATTATATCATTAAATTTGAAAAGTAAATATAATTTTTTAATAAATTACTACACACAAATTTACTCTTCTCCTTGAGTACCCATCACAATACCAACCCTGCAAACTTCCTCTAACAACCCTTGATCCCAGCTCCACCTCTAGCTACCTCTCTCTGCTCTCACTCAACCCCTCAGGAGACCTTCCCTTAACCATCCAACAGCTGTTCTGTTCCCCAACCTCTCCGATGGCCCTATTTCTTGCGAAACATTAGATGGTTTAAGTTTACAATAACATTTGTCGTTCATTTTATAAAACATAATATCATTTTTTTCTAAGTGTATAATTTTTCGATGAAATTTATTTTTTGTATTGATGACCTTTATTACTAAATTTACGAGATAGACAATTCAGATTATCAGTGCAGATTTTGATTAGGATCTATAAGAGGAATATGGAAAGATATGAAAAGATGTAACATTAATTTTCTAGCCTTATTGGTTAACACTTTCTAGTTGTTAGATTCTAGTAATCTCCTTTGAAGCCACATGCGAGAAAACAAGTATGTAAAGCCATTCCTTTTCTATGACTAGATTCTCACATAATATATAGACAACAACAGCAAACACTTACAATGGAGTAGGTGAAACATGGAGCCATTTCATAGGATCTCAAATTAGAGTGAGAATTTCCACAAAAGCATTCCCATCATTCATTTGTTTAAGGATCACGATATGAGATCTGTCCAAGTAGATTCAGTAAATGCATTTATGACAATGCTATATGTAACACATTGTACGCAATAATTATTTCAAGGGTAAATTACATTGACACTCTTTGAGGTTTATATTTATTACTTTTTTTTTTACTTTTTGAAAATTATATTTCTCCCTTAAGGTTTAAAGTTTCATTACAGATTCTCCCTCAGCCCTTTTAATTTTTTTAAATACCAATTTTACCATCATTTGGCAAATTACATAGACACCTCTCATCTTTTAGAAATTACAATCCCCTCCCTAAGGTTTAAAGTAGCATGACTAATTGCCCCCTCGGTTAGTATTAGTTGGAAAAAAAATTCATTGAAAAAAAAAATTAATTGGAAAAAAATTTTGTTAGTAAAATTTTAAATTTTTGTTTAAAAACTAACGTAAACTCATTTTTTTGAATTTACGTTTTTTCCTCAAATTTACAAACTAAGACAACCATTTTTAAACTAAAAAAATTATCAAACAAGTTTTTATGACAGTTTTTAAAATTTTTGTAAATATAATTTGAAAACTAAAAACGAAATAGTTACCAAGTAGGTCTCAGATAGTAAAAATGTCGTAAAATTAACAAATAATTAAATAAGTTACTAACGTAAGAAATGATTTATCAAAAGATTCTTAGGCTATTTCTTAAACGAAATGAAAATTGTTTTTTAAACGAAATGAAAATTATTTTTTTATTTTTTATTTCTTAACCAAATTAAATTTTAATTTAAAAAAAATTCTAAAAATCAAACCATACATAACCTAAGAATCTTTTGATAAGTCATTTCTTACGCTGGTAACTTATTTAATTATTTGTTAATTTTATGACATTTTTACCATCTGAGACTTGTTTGGTACCATTTCGTTTTCAGTTTTCAATTTATATTTACAAAAATTTTAAAAACTGTTATAAAAACTTGCTTGATAGTTTTTTTGGTTTATAAATGGTTGTCTCAGTTTATAAATTTGAGGAAAAAACGTAAATTCAAAAAATGAGTTTATG